CCGCTAGATTCAGCCGTTACCATTTACATTTTAAGTTATTCAGCTAGATTCCGCAAAAAAAAATCACCAAAAATTCAGCTAAATTCTGCTATTCAGCTAGTTACAGCCAAATTCCGTTATTACTATTAAAACCCATAATATAGAGCTTTTGAAATGAATAGATAACTTTGGTTTGATGAGAGTTGAGAAATTGAAAATCCCCGCTAAGTGTTGGATGAATTGTTTGTGAGAGCATGTATATTCTTCCTAACAAATGGTATATCATAGAACATATTGCTGAGTTTTACAACTTGTCCTAATGTCATGAGCTAGAATAGATGTGGAGAAATTTGATGACATGAGAAATTAATTAGGGGCAGTTACAAACTTTTTGTGTGCATATTTGCAAGAATGTCACTGAGGGGTGTCAATTTACAAAAATACCACTAATTATAGATTTATAAAGCCTATATCTCAAAATTCTAAACCCTAAAAAATATTTTGACACCTAAAACCCCCTAAACACTCAAAACTAAACTCTAATAGAACATAATTAATCCAAACATAAATAATATAAAGAAAATATAATTTTGAAAAAGTGGCATTTTTGTAAAGATTTCAAAAGTGTGGTATTTTTGTAAAGTGGCACTTGAAAAGTAATATTTTTTTAAATTTCTCAATTAATTAAACGTTATGGAAAGAAAAACTAGTTGCTCATTTAGAGGTCCAAGGTTTGGTGGATGCTCTTAAAGATTTGAAGAAAACTCCCCAACTCCCAAGTGTTATCATCAACGTTGCTGACCAAGTGCTAAGACAAATAATAAAAGAAATGTTTGAGGTCTTGGATCAAATCATTTTCAAACAGATCACACCTGAAACATAATCAGTTAAGCACTAGTGATTTAGAATGAATTATGAGACTGTTTTAGGAGCAGAATTCCTTGAGATTGTGATAGAGTGAAATGTAAAATAAGGAAATGAATTATAACCAAAACCAAGAAAGGGCTACTTTGCTAGATGACCAACAAAAAAAATTAATAATCAAGAAACTAATAAAAGTTTGGAGTATGTGGCAAAAAATCAACAGTTAGTTAATTTTTTCATTATTGCTTTTTTTTGTTATTAAACCCAATTTCCCAAAAAAAAAGGGGACGAATAAAAGAT